TATGCCTATATATATATATATATATGCCTACATTTCTATTTCCAGTCTCAGCACAGTGCTACCTATCACAAAACTCTTGTACATGCCCAGCACTTCACGGCACCCACCTTTTCTCTAACTGAACACAAAAAGTCTTGCTCAGGTTACATCTGCTAAAACACAGGACAACTGGCTGTGATGTACTTTAATCTGGAGCAAAGAGGGTTTTGGAAAAGACCCATTCATAAAGTAATTGTCAACAGACATGAGGACTCTGCTATGTTCTCCCGCTTAAAAACCTAATCATAGGTTTAGTCTTGTGCAACCTGCCAAATCCATAGCTCAATGAGCAAAGAACCTCTATTATATATTTTGCTGTCAGCCTTAACATTTCAGGAAAATGGAATGCAAAAGCTACTAAATTAAGATAGATTATATACTTTTTACGTCCTATTTTAAATTCTGATAGAGGAATTGAATTCAGGATTCTTTACATGGGATGCGTTTAAATGTTTCTTCAGTCCAGCTGAAGCAGGATTTAGGAAGTACAAAACTGACTAGCCTGCACTTAAGTTCTGCTTTGAATTTGATACTTAATCATGTACAGAAATGCACAAATTCTTCTACAATACTTAATACTGAAGGGAGAGCGAATTCACTTAACCTTTTTAATCCTCTTGAAAATTGCATGGGATTTCGTCAAGGCCTTTCCGAGTGACAAGTAGGTAAGAGCCAGAAGACAGCAACAATACACTTTGGGTGAGTTCTTCTCTTTCATCCCATGTTCAGTTTATTCCTGTGTCTGTCACATTTCTAAATTCATTTATGAAGTAACAACAGTTACATAGTTTAGCATATTAGTAAATGCTAGTACTCTGGGGAGTATTGATTCTGCCTGTATCTTCAAAAAAGGGGATGCAAGCAAAGACTCCCCTGGGCCAGCTGTATCTGCATCAAAGAGAACAAACAAAACACCCTCTCAGCTGTGACCCCAGCAAAGGAGGCCACGCATCTCCCTTCCGTCCCGGGGAGGGAAGCGCTGCCCAGGGCAGTGCCCCACAGCACTGTGCACTGCAGACATCCCGCTGAGCCACGGCTCACGCTTCTTCCCAATGACTTTTGGAAGCTGGGGAATAAATGCAGCACCCATGGCCTTACTGAGGGCTGAGGAGCCATGTGCCTGCAAAAGAAAAGCACCTTTCCATATCCTTTCCAAGCTATTTCTTTTAGTGTTCATTATTTCACCTGTTTCACATCCTATTATAAATGCAGACTTGTTAAACATCATCCGAGAAAGCTGGGCAGGGGGGATATGTTTGCACTCTACAGCAGCACAAAGTCACCTTGCCTGTCCTGGCTCAGGTACTTTTGTCCTTGGGGGACAGTAGAGCCCATAATGTTCCTGTTTTCCATCGTCCTGAGCCCATTCCCCACCCAGTAACTCCGGGAAGAGGTAGGTCTATGGCTGTCTTTGCCTCTATTTGGGCAGGCCCCAGATTTGCTTTCTAGTCCGCTTATTCAGTGACCCATGCATGACGTACTCGTTGCCTTACTTTACTCCTTGGACTCATAGTCCAAACCACAGCTTAGCCCTCAAGGTGCTTGGGCAGGCAGCCACATTCAGGGCTAGCCAAAATTTCTAAGGATGTGTCTGCAACGTGTAAGGCAGCACGGGCAAAAATCTGCAAGTTAGCTCCAGAAACGGAAGCAGCACAGTCTTATGGCCCAGGTTTTGCCCTGCGCTACGTAACGCTGCTGAGAGATTTACATGGCTCCGCAGGGGGGTGACGCTGGCCGCTCCCTCCGTGCGACACGGGGCTCAGATTCGGCGCCGACTCTGAACTGCCTGTGCAAGTCGAGCCCGAGCGTCCTGCTCGTGAAGTTGTTCGCACGTGACTGCTTACGCACGGAATTCAGCAGCTTGCTTTCCTACACCAAACAGGCAACACACAGAGTTTAAAATAATAATTTTTAAAAAGAATCTTAAATGAAATTATTAAACCCAATCCAATGTCACTGTGGATTGTATTACTTAGAGAAATCGTAGCAGGCCTGTGGCACATGAACATCCATTTCTAACAGATGTTCTTGTTATATTCATGAGGAGAGAAGGTGCATTTCCCCTGTTTTTTTCCTTTTTTTCCATAGCCTTCTGTGGCAAGCTTCTTTCAAAGTTGGCCCCTGCAGCACCCAGACATCCAGTATCACATTCCACTTCTAAAGCAGGCAAGACCCAAGAGAAGTTCAGGCACCTGAAACGTGCTTTTCCTTGCAGTACAGCGCTGAAAGTGACAACCGCTTTATAAAAGAAAAGTGAAATGTTAAATCTGCGTAAGACTGCATTTTATTCAAGCAAAAAAGACAATACAGCAGAGGGAAGTGGTCATACAATTCTTCTGACCTTGCCCCAGATGTCTTTTTTATAAAGCACATTGAAATAATTCCCCCCAAAATATTTTTCTTCACATAATTCTGGATATAGCAGTCATCTTGCTATCATTTTTCCTTTTCTTCCTTATTTTACTGCTGCTTTATTTATCACTTTTTGTCAAAGTGATACAGAAGTGTCTTCTTTGATGTCTACCCCTCATTTACTAGGACTTCAAACTTGCTAGCTCGGTACTAGCAGCCGGCCAGCTGTAGCAGAGTATGACACAGGCTATAAAGCCTGTGCAAGAGCAGTGAACACCTTGCTGTTAGCCTGCCTTCAGTTCTGCGCTGCTTCACTTAAACCACTACCAGAATTCGGGCGCGTTTAACTGCAGCAACCGCAGTGTAGACATGTCATTTGTACTGGCTGTGTTTTCCTTCCAGAATCTTTGCTAACATTATTTTCTGCTTTGTTTACACAGTAGTTTTATAGTACCATTTGTCTGTGTTACCGTCGTTATCGGCATATTGATATGTACACGGCAGCAATGCCTCAGCATTGAAAGTGGTGCTATTCTGAAAAATGACTAATTTTTGTTACTGACCAACCGCAGTGAAAGACTTCTATTTCCCAGTAATCATTTATTATATTCAGGCATGCAGGCCAGGTAAATTAATTTGAGTATCCTCTTAAAAATCCTAAATGAAAATTGGAGTAACGCTATTATTCATTAAGACACAGTTAAGATCGTGAGCCACATTGCTTACCTATGGATATGGTCCAAACTGCAGCAATTTTCATAATAGCCTTGGTGCGGGAATTGAAGCGGCTGTGCTCAATGGGATTGCGTATTGCTACATACCGATCAAGAGAGATGGCACAGAGATGCATAATAGATGCAGTTGAAAAGAGCACATCTAGGGAAATCCACATAGGGCACAACTGTTTAGGCAAAGGCCAAGCATAATCTGAAACATAGAGAGAAAAGAAATGAAAGGAAAAAAGAAAAGGAAATAATTTGGGAAGCTAGGCCATCATTTCTGAGAAACCGCTGGGATATTTCAACTCGACAAAACCAGTAAGGGGCACGTGCATGAGGGGCGGACAAGGAAACCTCTCACGGGGGCTCTCTCCGGGCAGTCCGGGCTCCGGACGCTCCGTAAGCCTGTAGCCAGGTCCCACATATCTGTTTTCCATAACCAGTAGCTAAAGGCAAAGGAACAGTAGTTTGGCAGTGCCTCCACGTGACCATTCTAGCTCTGTTCCTCCCTCTTAACCCTTCCCCCATACCTTTACAAAATCAAATATCACGAACATTTATAACTAACTGGCTCATCACGTTCTTTTCAAGGATTGCACAGCGCTATGTGGCATTAACTTGACTCAGATCCTTTCTAAAGCTCTCTTGATACGTACTTCTCAGTTTCTGTCCACTGAGGAGAAAGGTAGCAGACAGTTTTTCTACACAGTCTAACAACTGGCTAAATGACACTACTTCACCTTAAATATTCTCCCCCAGGCAATGTGCCTTAACAACAGAGGAATACGTGCCTCCTTACAGAGCGGCTGGGGTTGAGTGGCTGAAATTTGAAAACTGTTTTGAAGGGAGACAGAGCTGAGTATTATTCTTTACAGAAACAAGCACGCCAGCAAACTGAACAGACGAGATACCTACGTCTGACATTAGCTGCCACGCAGCTAATTTGGTTGCCTGCATTTATTAATCAGTTTACTCACTACTGAAGTACAGCTTGAGAATAAAAGTGACCCAGAAAGACCCTCCAGGGGCACTGGTATTTAAATTAAAGCTCAGAGAAAATTGATTTGTGAATGGTACTCCCATGTTAATGCCCAGAATGGATTGCGTGAGATCAATAACATGTCCTGCCAAGCTCTGGGGTTCTAACACACTCATCAAACAAATCAACGGTATCTATAGCAGCTGAAAACGTGAGAGACTGCATAATAGTTGAATAATGAGATATTCTTGTGTCTTCATTCAGAACATGGATATCTAAAGCAATCTTGAAGTTTACCCCAAGGATCAGAAACATCACTCTGCAGAATCAATGTTATATTGAGAATGATGCAGCTCCATCCTACTGATCTCGAATGGAAAGGAAGAAAAGTTAGTCTCAGAAAGCATAGTTTGAAACAAATTACCCAGCCAAGAAAGGCCCAGGATACCTTACACGCAGAAACCTGAGATGAACTGAACCAGAGCAAATTACTACCAATTGTCGAGCGAAGCCCAGGAACCTTTCACAAAGAGCACGGCAGAACGAGATGGACACGTTAGTTCCTATTACCAGTGGGAAACCCACAGAAGTGCTAAGTAACTCACAAAACCCACACAACAAAACTTCAGCTCTGGTGAGATAAACCATTTATTTCAGCAAGTTTGCAGCACCCCTACTACAGGGGCTGTAAGTGGACTGAAATCCAAAGCAGCAAGCATTTAAGAGACCCTGATCAAATGGAACTAAGCAAGCACTTTGTGGCTGGAGCTTCTTTGCTTCAAAAGGCAGCTCTGCCATACAAATTAATTGAACTTGGTTAAATTATGACTCAGCCCCTTTATGAAGCCACAATCAAACTCTGCATCTCCTGCTCTCGTTCACACTTCTCAACAGCTTAGGACATCACTGCCATTAACCTGCGGTTTAACTCAGAGCTCCAGCTAAGCACACCTCCGACTTGCTGGGTCTTTAATGGTGCCCCCGTCAATGCTCCAGGGAAAAACAAGTCTGATCTCCTTCAGGTGGTACCCGTGCTCCCTGTGCAGCCCCAGGCTTCTGCTGCCAGCCCAGGCTAAAACACACTCCGTCACGCTTTAGCCCTCGCTACTTCCCCCTCTGAGTGGCGAGAGCCAGATTTCTGCCACAGGCCGAAACGAGCTACGAGCACAAGACCTGGAGAAAATCACTGGGGACTGTGCCCGGGTGGGTGAAGTGATCCCTGTGAACATGCGTGGGGCTGGGTGACGGTGCAGCAGCCTGTGCAGAGGGGGACAGGGATGGTGATGGCTGCTCCCCCCGTCAGGAAACCTCTGGTGTCTCCAGGAAGGGACGCCAAGCATCCCTGAGCCTGGGAGCATCTCCAGTCCGGTCTATGGTGCTGCAGTGGGTACAGTCTGATTCTTGACATTCGCTAGACCTGGAGGAGGTTTCTACAGCAACCACCTTTTCAGCATGATTGAATGACGAAGAGCCTCTCTTACTTCTTCCTTCAACCTACCCGAACGCTTCCCGTGACCGATTCCCCTTGGAACAACTTCTGCAATCGATGTGAACGAGGCAGCCGCGTTACAACCAAAAACTTAGCAGAAGCAAAGGCGACCATAAGCGTTGACACCCGTGGCGTGGGGCCAGCAGGTGCTGCCTGCCGTCAGCCTGGCACTGCAGGGACCGCAGCCACCCGCAGGTCACAGCAACTGCCCAGAACTACTGCCTGGGCAAACCGTCAGGACGTCTTTAAAGAGAAAGGTGATATGAGAGCCCTCCTAATGGCTAACCCTTTTAGTCTTTACCATCCCAAGGCACTCCGTTACGATTCTAGCTGAAAAGTCAGTTACACGAGGAGACATTTACTTTCTCAGGAAGTTTCCTAAAATGGTCTGCAATAATAAAATGTCACTCTGGAAATTTGTAGAATGGCAGCTCATAATGCATGACTGTACCTTGATAGGAAGGGCACAATATATATCCTATCTCAAAATTAAATTACTTTCAAGTAAGCATGGTGTGTGCATTTGAAAAACACCTACACAGCCTACAAAGCCAGTAATTTGTAAAAAAAGAAGTAAAGTTTATTCTAATTGTTTCAAATAAATGTACAAAACATAGGAAATGTGCCCTGTGACTGTGCCAAGATACAAACAAGGATTGAAAAAAACCAATTCTGTTAACTATGTTATACCTTTAAAACAATCTTATCCCCAGAAATACTCTATCTGCAGAAGGTAACGTTTCTCTAATTTGTTCAATTTTCTCTTGTTTCTCTCACAAACAATAGCAATCACCATATATTTAGAAGTGCAGATGACTGAGTGAAATGAATTCCTGGACCCCAGCACTTCTAAGTTTTTGTGATCACATTTCCGATGGAAAGCATCCATCTCAGTCCAAATTTGGTTCCAGAAAGAGCAAAACAGTACTAAACACACGGGTAAGTAAAAACCAAATTCTTTGTAAGAAACTCTGATTTTTGTACCTTGAATTAATCTGTGCCCTTAAAATCAGTCATATATTTCATACACTGGCTGGTAGACCAGATAGAAGAGTGCTGAAGGGAATTAGATGAATACAGCAGGTCAGAAAAAAAGGCAATATTTCTTCACCCAGCGTGTGATCAAACAGCAGATTTTTTTGCCTCCGGGGATTTTGTGGGTGCTAGAAGTTTACACTGGACAAATCCATAGAGAAAAGCGTACAGAAGACTATTGCAATGATATTATTTTTACATCAGTGTTAGCTTCTGGCTCTGGTCAGGATAAAAACAGCGTGTATGAAATCCTGGAAGGAAACTTCTGCAGAACGCCGGTGTGTATCGCTTCAGCCTCCAGCGCTGAATAGCGACAGGTTCCCCGAGATGCTCTTGCTCTTCATGGGAAACATGGGTCAAACACTCATATTTCACCAGCAGTCATGGTCTATAGGTGGGATTTCATCTCCTGTGCTGGGATGAAGAAGAAAACCACAGTTCCTGCATGTCACTGAACAGCTGAGATGGGCACAAACTGTTGGCAGCAAAATATAGTAACTCAAAAGCATTTTGGCAAAGTCACAGACCTTCTCTGTGTGTAGCTAATTTGCTGTCGGATGAGAGTTCCTTGAAATTTTTTGTGCTTTCCATCAAGAAAGATGGCAACAATGAAATTTAATCACTTTTGTCAGAAGTTTTATGCATATGGATAAAAAGCGTTGTATAACACTGTTATTGTGGTCACTGAGAGTTAAAATTACCAGCCACTGCAGCAGGAGGTGACTGAATAATCCAAAACACAGCAAATGGAAGCAAATTAATTATGTCAAATGGTAGAACAGAATTACTCCAGATTGTAGGAGCATGGCTGGACTGAAAAAAAAAGTGTTAGAACCTGCAGCTGAAAAGAAACTGTGGGACTGCAGAATAGACGGGCGGTGATACAAAACCCCTTCCTTCCCCCCAGAGCCTCCAACAAAATCTCATGATCTTTGCCCAGCTTTTTGTGCTAAGCTGGAGAGGACAGGAGTTGCGTGTACACATACACACAAACTCTCCCCACGCTACAAATGGACTGGCTCACTATATTTACATTTTAAAAAATGACTATTGCTTGGATATATTTACTACTTCTACAGTGCAGTCTGCCCCAGGACACCTCCTGGGAATATGCAGTGTAACACTCGAAAACAATCTGGAATAATAGTGACAAAATACCCGTTTACACCACAATAAAGCAAAGAGTTATGTAAAATTCATCCCTGTAGCTTCAGAAATCTTTCATGGCAAACTCACAGTAAGCTGCAGCAATGCAGCAATAATTTCTTTTCCAACCATGAACGGGAATTTGGAAAAGGCTTCAGAACACATTTGTTGTGTTTAGCCAGTGCTTTATATCTATCAGGATGGATAAAAGGGTAAAAACCACCCTTCAAAATCACACAGGAAGGATGAGGGTAAATTTTGTCTTTTAGGTGCATGATGACCTTTTATATATATACACACACACACACATATATAATGTATATATACATATGCATATATATAAAAAAACCCCCAGAGCTAGAGGTACAGAATGAGAACTAGAGATGCTTATGTGTTCAAATACAGCCTCTTAACATCGTTCATTGGCTTGGCCAAAAACTAAGATACATGTAATATTTCTCCTTTTGGGGTTCTGATATTTATTGTATTTACGTTTCGCTTGAACTACTGGTAGGCCTTGAACGACTTGTACTGAAAATGGTAGGAAATCATTGTGTTT